CTGATGTTTTGTTTGTTTATGGTGCTGAAACAAATGTGTTTAAATTAATATTGTACATTTTATGGCGGTTAAGGGGAGACACTACAGGTGAATAGAGTCAAAGTTAACTATATCACCATGAAACTTCAGTTCATTGCTCACATTAAGACGATTATTATTTGTATTGCGAGTTTTCTAAAAAACATGTTTAAGCATGCATATGAGGTTTCATCTTTATCTAATTTGCATACATTTCCAGAACATAAATCTGAACATTGGATGAAGCCAGGTTCAAAATTCTTGCTTCAGTTTTATGGTAAGAAATGTACAAATAGATATCACCATGAAACTTCACCAGTTCATTACTGACATTGAGATGATTATTTTTTGTATTACATGTTTAAATATGCAAATGAGGCATTATGTAATGGTAACTTTTGGTGAATTTAGGAGAAATCTACGGACGCAAACAGACAAAGTAGTAAAATAAATGTTTTATTTCCACTAGTCTGAAAGAAGACAAGTTATAGAAGAGTAATATACTAAAATCTGAAAATGAACCAGCACAATGGAAATGTATTTTGCCCGGGTGTCTCGCCTTAAACTGAAAATGTAGCATTTCTTAACAACCTACAGTTTTAATGTTGTGTTTAAAGACGTACAGATGAAATGATGTTGTGAGTACTGTTCGGTGGTGGCATTGGGTAAAACCTCAAGTGTGTTCAGACCTACATGTATGTAGTGTGTACAGTGCTGTGTGTGTGTGTGTGTGTGTGTGTGTGTGTGTGTGTGTGTTTTTTTACAAACGGTGTGTTTATGGACACTGAAGCTACGCGTGAAGAGTCTCATTCCAAAATGCCAGAAACTTACGTCATGTCACTTCTTGAGAAAACTTTTGCCAAGTCCAGAGTGTCCTTTAGTGACATTTTGATTTCATCGGCCAGCCGAGCAGAAATGTTCACATCTGTCCTCGTGTGAGAGCCGTGACATCTGCAGCCAGCAATATTAAAAACATGCAGAATATATATTAAAAAGTATGCAGCAACGTGGCCAAAGAAAATCTATCAAAAAACGGGACTATTTTCAGTTTATTCTGCTGCAACAGTTATTTACACAAGATTATTAGCTCATTGTTTGTTTGAAAGCTTTATTTAAAATAATGCAGTTGCACACAGAAAAAAAGACCTTTCTGTAAGACAATAAAAACTATTTAGTGTTTGGAATGAACCTCTGTGCGTAGCTGCGTGTTGTATCTTGTGTTGTTATGAACAGTTTAATGCAGTGCTGGATGTAGAGGTTTTGTATTTGGGTGAAGTTGTGCTCCTATTTACAGCGTGTTTGTTTTTTTCTCTACCTCTTCCTCTAAGGACTTACCCATGAATATGAATTATGTTAAATAACGCATTTGGAATATTCAAAATGTTAAAAAAAAAAAAAATTTCTATTTCTAGTGGTAACCCTATTTTTGCACAGTGAACCATTTGAAATGTTTTCATATTATTGTGTGTAGAAATGATCTGAGACATATTGAACTGAGCTATGCAAGAAACCAGAGCAATAAAATGATATTCTGACCTTTTGTTGTGAAAGTGTTTGTTTGTTTATAATAATAATTGTTGTTCATAGTAAAATGGAAAATATTTTTGCGTGGCAAAATGTATTCATTCCTCTTATTCTAAACTGACGGTACACTATTAACTGCTTTATGTGTATTCCAGCAACATAAGTGCTGACAACTCAAGAAACCAGCGCTGTAAATGACTATTATAAAGGAAAGTACACAGTGACTCATATCACGTCCACACTCACAGTTTATGGGCGCTTTTAAACTTCTGACAATCACCATTTATTAGTGTATTTACTATGCAAAAGAGGGAAACTTATGGGAATAAAAGCTGCTGGTGCATCACAAACACTGCAGAAATATGTGACATGGCGACAGCCGAAAAGTCCCAAAAAGCACACTGATATAGATCAATATGACGATCACCAACCTGCTGTTTGGTGTCATGGACTGTTCTGCTGCAGATTAGAGCCTGCAGAAGGATGATAAAGTGGGATGAAGTTTTAAATGAAGTCCATCTGCCTCTTGTGCGACTTTAAGGTCAGAGTGAACAGTATGAAAGTCTTATTGGAGCAAAACACCTGTGATAGTGGAATGTGTAGCTGTAGAAAACTAGTCACACGTGTGTATCGGTAAATTTGAAGTCACAGAGAAGAAACAGTTTTGGTAGTTGCATACTTTTTTTCCTTCTCTTCCACAAACAACACAACAGCTACACCTGCTCAAATTCTTCACAGCCTGGTGCACAAATCATATTCTACAAATCCCAAAGTAAGAAACTCACACGCTCACTTTTTTATTTTTAACTAAAGTTCAGAGGTGCAAAAACACATTCATACACCTGTATCAAAAAAACGTGACGTCATATACAAAAGACACGTTGTGAATACCTGCAAGTGTTTTGTTCCAATAACACCTTCATAGTAAAGCGTGGACTTCCTGCAGTACAGCCACACCACCAGAGGAGGGAGCCAAAGCACAGACCTAGTCAGGAGGTAAATAAACAAAACCTGTAGTTCCCGGATGTACAGTAGAGTGGCGCCTCCCCCCCCTCCCACCTCCTCCACCGACCGTCCCCTCCCAGCGGGTCTCCCTCCCTCCGCCACTGCAGAGAAAGAGAGCCTGAAGCTGGGTATAAAGCCAGGACGAGCCCTCGGAGAGAACCACATTTATACACATATACATACATATATATATATATTTTGTTTTTTTGTATTTCTCGCCACAGCTCGGCGACCTACCAACTCTCCCCCCTCCCTCCCCTCCTGTTGGACCTCTTTTCCGCTCTCATCGCCTCCTGGTATTTCGTCATCCGACCTGCAAAGATGGTAAGTAAGCTCTCTTCTGTTATTTCTCCCGGTGTAAACGTGGTCGGTCACTGGGTCGCTTCATTTAGTGGTGAAGCCCTTTTTGCTTTAAGTTCGACCAAAAGTGGAGCTCCTCGCTTCTCTCACCCACTTCTGGGTGTAACACCTCCGGAGCTGACCGCCTAAAAGCCCAGATCTGTCTTCTCTTTATTAGCACCCGAGGCCTGTGCAAAAATGTACTTTTCCTCATTGATATACACCGTTTTTAAATGTCTTTATTGTCTTATTGTTGCACGTTTTTACAAAACTGCAACTCAAGTTTGTGCGCTCGCTCTAAAAGTCTCATTAGTCTGGTTTGTGTGTCGCGTGACGCTTTGTTGACACTTGCAACATTGTTTCATTGGTCGTTCTCCACGCTGTGATAAGTGGCGCGAGGCTTCATTTGTATCCGCTCTACCGTTCTGAGGTACTAGTACTGTATGTGAGGTACTAGTACTGTGCAGTATGTGAGGTACTAGTACTGTATGTGAGGTACTAGTACTGTGCTGTATGTGAGGTACTAGTACTGTATGTGAGGTACTAGTACTGTGC